GCGCACAATTCGAACGATTTGCTAATTAATTTTCTGAGAATATTGGTCAACATTATATATATTATATATTATATTATAATCTAATAATATAAAATAAATCTATTCGCTAATTAATTAATTTTTTAATATATATACTATTATTAGATTATAGATTTTTACCAATATTCCAATAAAGAAATTCATTAACGGACCATTTCGAATGTTCACCAAGAAGAATAATTTCAGAAGAAACTATAAATTTTACTTTTTTGCCCGAAACAATTATAATTATAAGAAAATTATACACCTGTGACATAAATGGACTGTCAACGATAAGCATTTGGCCTCCGCGAGCCCTAATCAAAGCATTCGCAGACATTCACAGAATTCCACGAACAAGAGGGAGGCGACGTGCTAGGGGATGATTTTCGCGAGGCCCTGAAACTCGCGTGTAACACGATGCGAGCCTCCAACTGAAATGATTATGTGGGAAGATAAGGGTGGGGTCCGAACGTGTCATAGAACTCGTCAAGGCGCGGCCGATCGCATGTGATTCTCAAACCCGGAATCACCTGCGTTACCATCCCTCGGTAGTTCATTGATTTATGGGCCTTAAACCGACTAACTAAATTGTCTTAAATCAACACCACCGAGCGTAGATTTGTACACATGGCACAAGTACTGCCGAATCAAATTCGTTTAGCTTAAGTAGCCGCGAATCAGTGTCGGTTAATTGAAACAGTCTCGAAGTATGTCAACTAGATTTGCTCCAATCTGAAACTATTTAAGATTCGTGCTAGCTAAATTAGATTTATAAAACGTAATAAATAGACTGCGGATCGCGTTGTGCAGAATGTACGTCTTTACATAAGGTCTTTGTACAGATCTTTACGTAAAACGGAAACTGTTCTGCATTCATTGCTGGTTAGCTAATAAAGAATTATCACGTATCAACTAGACAAAGCCTAAACATGTAAAAGTACAGTAATTTCTTTCGAATTTTCCTTCAGCTTGTACAAAAAAAGTGGACATTTTGGGAAGAGGAGATACGATTATTCGAGTCTTGCATTGCGTTTTTATTGTTGTTGACAATCAACAACAATAAAAATGAGCCGCGAGACTCGAATTTTC